TCATCTCAAATGTGTATAACCTTTCATTGCATTATAGTTAGATCTTTGGAGATAATTTTCCGATTGTGCCATCTTGGAAGGATATTAACAGGCTAGCATCAGCACACTGGGGCTGTTTTCCTTTCAGTAATCTGCCCAAATACATGGGTGATGAAAATCTTGGTTTCTTCTGTGGTTTGAGTCTCTGTTATCAGTCATGTTCCTGTTTAGTATATTCGGCATGAATCAGGACAAATTATTGCATCTTGCTTGTCCTTTAGTTTTCTTGGAATAGTAGTTAGCTCAAGAAGTTGTTGTCATGATGTGTTGATCTTCACTGAGATCTTTAAAGGTGAGCAGTATGGTGCATTTTTAGAAAAGAAAAATAAACCTCCTCAAACCCTCTGGTTGTTTAGTTCTTGATGCTTTTCAGGTTTTTCAAACTTTGTGTTTCATGTAAAGCTTTTCCAAGCTTTCAGTTATAAGCGACTAAGTACCTATGTGTTTGGTTGTGGGGTTGGCACGTGGTGAGTTGTCATACTGATTTAGGATTTTTAAGAAACAGAATGAGATGATTGAGGTTGCACAAAAACTGTCACCACTGTTTGTTCTTCTTTTAGTTGTGCATCTTGTGAGGCTGGTAAAAGTTCACTCTTGCCTGAAAAAATTTCAGAATGGGAGCTCTGAAGAGCTGAAAGTATTGGACATGTGAATGCAAACTAGTTACTTGGTGTTTGTGGAAAACCAGACTCCATTACCCGGTGAACACTCTGAAATCAGAGTGCCTTTTTTTTTTAGGCTCAAGTGATGCTCCTCCATTTTGACATTCTTGGTCTTTTGTGTACAAGAGAAGAGGGCCTTGCAGGAGAATTATATCCCATCCCATGAACTAACGCATTTGTATTTAGGGATAGCAGTTTATTAATTTTGATATTATGTTTAGTGCTTAACTTCATAAGCCGCTATTATCACCATTCTGTTCAGACATCCATCATTATGGTGGTTGTTCCATGGAATTAAAGGCGCTGTTTGATAACCCCAACAAAGGCGAGGCGTAGGGCTTGAAGGTG